CTCTGGTATGATTTTTGTTGTAAAACATAGCTCCATAGCTCTTGTAAGACATGGCTCCAGAGCAGCTATGTCTTTCTGAAGATGAGGTCTCCATGCCTGGATGCAATAATTCATGTGGGGGCGCACCAGAAACTTAAACAATTGAAGGTCTACTTTCTTTTTCTTGAAGGTAAAGGTACGCATGATTTTTTCCAGTTTTTTTTTTTTTTTTTTTTTTTTTTTTTTTTTTTTTTTTTTTTTTTTTTTTTTTTTTTTTACTGCCGCTCCTACTTGTTGTACAACTGTCAGTGATTGGTGGATTCTGACTCCAAGATAATGTTGGTGATTTGGTAGTTGTGTTGTGTTTTGTTATGCCTCACGTGATGGATGCTGACTCGGTCTTTTTCTTCATCTATCTGTTGAAAGATAGTGCTGTCAATTAGGTAGCTGTGATGTGGATTGTTATGCCCCACATGCAAGATCTTGCATTTATCGACATCAAATAGTCATCTGACCATTTGTGGAGTTCACGTAGATCTCTTTGTAAGGTTTCAATATCACTTTCACTTACCATTTTACCATAGATCTTTAGTGTCATCTGCAAATTTGATGTGGTTTGTAATATTCTCATGTGTCGTTGATGTATATGACAATAAGAGTTGGCCCCAAATTGGACCTCTGTGACACCCCACTTAGCACATTGGAGGGAGGTTGGATGAGATATTTGCTTGTTAGGCTTGCGATTACACGCTGGTCGGGCTCCGGGGGTGTGACTTGTTGGGCTTCTAGTTGTTCATGGTCGGGCTCCGGTTCGTGTATGGTTGTGCACCAATGATTATTTGTGTACTAGTACTCCATGTTTGTTTGCTAGGCCTCCATGGTTGTATGTTTGCCAGAAATCCAGGTTTCTTTTTTCGCACAGAACTCAATTGTTTGTTAGATATGGCTCCATAGTTGGTTTGTAGGGCAAGTGGAAAGTTTTAGGTAGGGCTAAGGAGATTTTTGTTTGGTCAAGCTAGGAATGAAGTTTGGTTGGGCTCTGGGGCTGTTTAGCTTGGTGGGGGTTGGATGAGATGTATACTTGCTAGGCTTGTGGTTACACAACTGGTCGGGGTCCCTTTACACAACTGGTCGGGCTTCGGTTACACAACTGGTCGGGCTTCGGTTACACAACTGGTCGGGCTCCGGTAAAACAACTGGTCGGGCTCCGGTTAAATAACTGGTCGGGCTCCGGTTACACAACTGGTCGGGCTCCGGTTATAATAACTGGTCGGGCTCCGGGGTGTCACTTAGGCTTCGGGTTGTGCATGGTCGGACTTCGGTTCGTGCATGGTTGTGCTCCAGAGGTTGTTTGCTAGGGCTCTATGGTTGCATGTTTGTTAGAAATCCGGGTTTCTTTTTTCGTAATGAACTCGATTGTTTGTTAGATATGGCTCTATAGTTGGTTTCTAGGGCAAGTGGAGGGTTTTAGGTAGGGCTAAGGAGATTTTTGTTTGGTCAACCTAGGAATGAAGTTTGGTTGGGCTCTGGGGCTGTTTAGCTTGGTGGGGGGTTGGATGAGATGTATACTTGCTAGGCTTGTGGTTACACAATTGGTTGGGCTCCGGTTACATAAGTGGTCAGGCTCTGGGGGTGTTACTTGGGCTCTGGGTTGTGCATTGTTGTGCTCCGGTTCTTGCATGGTTCTGCTCCAGGGGTTGTTTGCCAGGGCTCTATGGTTACATGTTTGCTAGAAATCCATTTTTTTCGTACATAGCTCAATTTTTTGTTTGCTATTGCTCCATAGTTGGTTTTGAGGGCAAATGGATGGTTTTTGGTAGGGCTATGGAGATTTTAGTTTGGTCAAGCTCAGAATGGAGTTTGGCTGGGCTCTGGGGCTGTTTAGCTTGGTGGGAGTTGGATAAGATGTATACTTGCAAGGGTTGTGGTTACACAACTGGTTGGGGTCCCTTTACACAACTGGTCGGGCTTCGGTTACACAACTGGTCGGGCTCTGGTTACATAACTGGTCGGGCTCCGGGGGTGTCACTTGGGCTTCGGGTTGTGCATGATCGGGCTTCGGTTTGTGCATGGTTGTGCTTCAGAGGTTGTTTGTATGGTTCGTTCATACTAGGCATGTGGTTACACAACTGGTCTGGGTCCGGTTACACAACTGGTCGGGCTCTGGTTACACAACTGGTCGGGCTCCGGTTACATAACTGGTCGGGCATCGGTGGTGTCACTTGTGCTTTGGGTTGTGCATGGACGGGCTTTGGTTCGTGTATGGTTGTTTTGCATGTTATTTATTCGGTTCCTTCATGTTTGGCTTGCGGTTACACAACTGGCCGGGGTCTGGTTACACAACTGGTCCGGGTCTGGTTACACAACTGGTCTGGCTCCCGTTACGTAACTGATAGGGGTCCAGTTACGTAACTGGTCGGGCTCCGGGGGTTACTTGGATTTCGGGTTATGCGTATTCGGACTTTGGTTCATACAGCGGTTGTGCTTCAGAGGTTTTGTTCGGTTCGTTCATGCTAGGCTTGCAGTTAAACAGCTGGGCGGTGTCCGGTTACATAACTGGTCGGGCTTCGGGGCGCACAATAAACTAACACTTTTTTAGTTTAGTTCATTTATTATGCACCCCCATACCCATCTTGTGGGCGGTAATGGTCACAGAGGCACATAATGGGCTCAGGGACTGAACCCCACAACCACCACTCGCTGGTTGAATAGGGGGGATGCTTAATTAACTATCGACCTCTGGCGGCAAAAATCAGGTTTTTTTTCAGCGTAAGTGGAAAAATATCAATGAAGTTTGCAACTACGGTCTAGTTGCAAATATTCATTCTGTAATAAGAGACAAATCTATCTATCACCCTCGCTGATAGATAATAATAAGATATACAATAGTATAAGCCGTGTACTAAGCACGTCAGCCTACATTTAATATCTATATAATAATAATAATAATAATAATAATGTTTATTCAGGTAAAAGTAAAAACATACAAAACGTTACAAGCAGAATGTTGGACTTATTTATTTATTTATTTATTTATGCATATACAAGAAGGTACATTGGGACTGTGAGGATACATAATATGGTAATTACAGTCTTGTAAAGCCACTAGTACGCGCAGCGTTTCGGGCATCTACCTACAATGATTTTAGTGTAGATATTTTGATATGATTTTGGAATATGAAAGATGTTAAGACAAACTTATTTAATTCATTCAATTGTATAAGGATAAATCGCCTTGCATATTTGAAAAATATGGAGGAGGACTCACTATCACTTCAAGTTGATCTAGATAGGGTTTTGAAATGGTCAAATGATTGGCGAATGCAGTTTAATGCTGATAAATGTAAAGTTCTGAGGCTAGGTAATGAGGATAGAGTTACAAGATACGAGCTAGATGGTGTTGAGATTGCGAAAGGGATCTGGGAGTTATGATTAGTAAGAATTTAAAACAAAAGGATCAATGCATGAATGTTCGTAATAAGGCGAATAAGACACTGGGATTTATTAATCGAAGCGTTAGTAACAAGACACCAGCTTAATGTGTGTACGAAAGGGTCCCTGTATGCGATTGTCTGTGAACGAACTGGTAAGTGTACGGACCGGATGGTATACAAAACGGTAATGTACGATTAGAGTCGACCCCGGTACTCACCTAATACACCGGTGTAGTGTCCCGGGTGGCTGGAGGTGGTAGTGACCCGCTAGTGAGTGATGTCTCAGACAGTGTTCATTGCTGTCTTCTTTTATGTGCTAGCCATATGCTGTATTGTGACTACCAATTTTTGTCAACTACCATTCAAGCTGTCATTGCAACCAATCTTATATTGTTTCTGCTGTATTATGCCTACCAATTTTTTTGTCAACTACCATTCAAGCTGTCATTGCAATCAATCTTAGCTACCTATGTGCTTTAATATACTGTACGTACAATTTTCTCTCATCTTTTTTTTCATTTCATGTAATCTGTTATCATTTTTTGTCTATAATTTTGCAAGTATTTACCTCCTTAAAATTTTCTTAGATTAAGGACCTGCCCGAAACGCTGCGCGTGCTAGTGGCTTTACAAGACTGTAATTACCATATTTGTATCCTCACATTCCTTATGTACATTCTTGTATATGCATAAATAAATAAATAAATAAATAAATAAACCCTGTTGGAATATAACCAGTCTGTCAATCGGGTCAACCCAAGTGTTGCGTTTCCATGCGTTTCCAAAAGGGTCGCCCATGTTAGAATCGGTGAACGCCCTAGTAATATTGCTGAAAACATCTTAATAACTTATTAAACCAAAGGTCTTTTTATGTCAGAAGAACGGCAGAAACTAGATTATATATGAAAACTCTTTCAGGACAAAATTTAAAGTAAAACTAAAGATATTTGTAGTTGTATAAAAGTTGCATTTTTCATCGGTCGTAGAGCCGGAAATCCGCAATATTCATCTCAGAACGATGCTTATTTCACGCAGAATCGTTAATAAACGTAAGATTTTTATACGTCTCAAGAAAGATAGAAACATAAATTTACTTTAATCTAGTTTTACATAATCTAATTTTACTTTAAATTTTGTCCTGAAAGAAAAGTTTATTAACGAATTTACGTGAAATAAGCATTGTTCTGAGAGTTACTCCGTTGCTTGATCTGTGCGGGATCGGAGCTCGCCGATTAGAAAAATACACGTATCTTCGCTTTAAATACAAATATGCCCATGGTAAGGCATTTAAAATGAAGATTATGTTTCTATCTTTCTTGAGACGTATAAAAATCTTACGTTTATTAACGATTCTGCGTGAAATAAGCATCGTTCTGAGACGAATATTGCGGATTTCCGGCTCTACGACCGATGAAAAATGCAACTTTTATACAACTACAAATATCTTTAGTTTTACTTTAAATTTTGTCCTGAAAGAGTTTTCATATATAATCTAGTTTCTGCCGTTCTTCTGACATAAAAAGACCTTTGGTTTAATAAGTTATTAAGATGTTTTCAACAATATTACTAGGGCGTTCACCGATTCCAACATGGGCGACCCTTTTGGAAACGCAACACATGGGTTGACCTGATTGATATATGGGTCAGATTCCATTAAGGTTCGGAACAAGTGACACTAAACCACTAGTACCCGCTAGTGTCGTCCAAGTACCCGCCAGTGACATAAGTACCAGCAAGTGTCTTCCAAGTACGTGTTGGTGACGCAAGTATCGAACTCGCCGAGGCCTTTCTTGAATCTTACAACCTCCGTGGCACTCAAAATACACACGGGCCAAAATTCACTCTTAGTCACTTATCTGAGAATACAGTAGCATACAGTATAATAGTTATCTGAGTATATAGGGGGTCTGGTAGCTGAGCGGACAGCGTGCAGGGCTCATAATTCTGACACCCGTGTTCGATTCCCGGACCAGGCAGAAACAAATGGGTAAAATTTATTTCACCCTGATGCCCCTGTTACCTAGCAGTAAATAGGTACCTGGGAGTTAGACAGCTGCTATGGAGCTGCATCCTGGGGGGGGGGGGGTGAGGAAAAATTAGTTAGTAGCAGTTGATTGATTGACAGTTGAGAGGTGGGCCGAAAGAGCAGAGCTCAACCCCCTCAAGAACAACTAGGTGAATACAGTATTATTAGTAACAATAAAAAGAATGTTGCCTTCCTGACAACATCGACCCACTTGGACTAGATGGTAATGGGATGGCCTCGCTTCTTGTTGGTTGGCATTCACTTCCTGACCATATAAGTGGTTGGGCATCATTCCCCCCCCACCTCCTATCCCAAATCCTTGTCCTCATATCCCTTGGTGGTTTCTACTGATAGTTACCTTGTCTTCCTAACAAGACATATCCTAGCTCAAAATATATATATATTTATATAAAGACATTTCATCATGATGTCACATGATACATGGTACATAGTCTAATACACATTTAAACACTAGTTGCATAGATATGTATATGTCAATCACAATAACTCTTAAGATCTCGTTGCTGTACAGTAAATGTTAATAACATTCCTTGATGCTTGTCTCAAATCACTCGTAGCAAATACAATCTCCTGTAATCGATACACCGTAACATAAATAAAATATTTCTTGGCAATCCTCCATGCTAGTTGTTGCCTGCAGTATCATAACGCTGTACACCATGAAGTTGTTGACAAGCCAGCTCAGAAATTAAGCGTTGAATGTAATGGAACGTCTTTGCCTGGGTGGCTTCAGTAGCTCCCTGTACCTGGCCTCCCTTGCTGTTCTTTCCCTTGGGGATGTGGCAGATCTCGGTGGAAGTGGCATACGAGTAATGGTGCAGGCTGTTTGGTCCCCTTGAAGGATCCTTGAAGGATCTGAGCTGCCATCTGATGATGCAATGGGTATTGGCACTATCGTCGGCAAACTACTGCTTGTACAGTATTTTGTTTCCTTTTCACTATTTAATAAAGTTTGGATTTTGCTTTGCCAATTTTTTTGTCTTTCTCTCTGATCCCTATGCTCCCCTCACCTATATAAAATTCACCAGATTCTGTACCTGGTACAGTATGTGATAAACCTTCACAATTCCAGAGGCCTGGTAGCATTACAGGCATCTCTGACTTCCCCAAATTTATTTCAGTGTTATTCGTTTCTTATCAGCATTCTGTATTCCATGTGTTGTGTTACAGGTTAAACAATGATGGACTGGGGGGAGAGATGGAGTGAAGTTCGTAAATTGCTGGAAAGGCCTGGTCCTTTCACTCACCCTGATTTTGAACCATCCCCTGACACCCTCAGGATGCTGCAAGAAAACATAAAGGTCTTGATAATTGGTATGTTTAGTTGTAATTTAGTTTTTATATTTACAGGTCAGTGGACCCTACAAAATCTATAATAAATTTTTTTCGGACCTCATCTGGATCCTCGTTAAATTTTGATTTCTCTAATAACTGTGTCTATTTTGTATTTTCCTCCAGTCTTCTAGCTTTGGTATGTGTAACACCCAGTGTCTTATCATAACTCATGTTCTTAAGTTCTGGAAGCCATTTAGTAGCATGTCTTTGCACCCTTTCTTATTTATATATATGCTTTTTGAGGTACTGTACTGAATGGACAACACCTAACTGCTGTATATTACAATTTTGGTCTTGGGAATGTCATGAACAGTATATTTAAATGCAGTAGAGTATTGAAATTGCCTAGTGTAGCAACAGCTCCTCTCGCAGTACTTTGTGGTTCTCCGGCGATGGCTTGCTATCTAGACCCACTCCTAATCTCTCTCCTTGTCAGAGATTTTAGTGACTTTTCACATAATTTGTAGATTAAATGTAGCACTTATTTGGCCACTTGTTCTTCTCTTGTCTTGTGGCCTAAGGTAGTAGTTTTTTTATTTTATTTTAGATAACCTTTCCCATTAATGTATATATGGTATAGATTTATTTTTCAGATGTCCAAAGATTCTTTATTCCTATGATTATTTATTTTCCATCATTATTATTCAATCAATTTAATCACTGAGGTGAAGCAATTGTGGCCCCACTGATCAGGTACTTTCTGCAGGAATGTATTTGCATCTATTTCCTTCTTTAGATAAGCTATCCCATTTTTAAATTATTTATATACAGTATATATACTGTATATTTTTTTAGATATCCCAAGATTCCTTAGTCCTATGATTATCCATTTTGGGTCATTATTATTCAATGTACAGGTACAGTACTGTAATAGATTTGTTACATCATTTACCTTCAGTTAAATGTGCATTAACTAATTATAATACGGTACTCATTTACATTGTAGTCCAGTATCATATTACTAGACATTGCAGTAGTGTCACGTCACGAAAATGCCACTTTGATCCCATGTTTATAGGTTTCCTCAATCCACCATAATCAGGTAGATCACTCTCATTTTTGTGTCTTTATCCACCTCCCTTTCTTACACAACCAACCAGGCGTCCAAAAGCCTGGTTGATCAGTCCAGCAACCAGGAGGCCTGGTCGACAACCGGGCTGCGGGGACGCTAAGCCCCGGAAGCACCTCAAGGTAACACCAGAGATATTTTCTCTAAGGGCCTTGTGTTTCTAGGTAAAGCTTTGAACTTGGTCAGTAAAGCAAGGCCAGTTAAGGGCGAGTTGAAGAAGTTAACTATGTGTATGTACTCGCCTATTTGTGTCTGCAGGATCGAGCTCTAGACCTTTCCTAATATCTCTTGTCTATCAGTTCCAGGAGCCATTTAGTTGCATGTCTTTGCACCTTTTCTAGTTTGTTGATGTGCTTCTTAAGATATGGACATCATAGAACTTGCATTATTCCAACTTTGGTCTCACAAAGGTTATCTTGAGATGATTTCAGGGCTTTAGTGTCCCCGCGGCCCGGTCCTCGACCAGGCCTCCACCCCCAGGAAGCAGCCCATGACAGCTGACTAACACCCAGGTACCTATTTTACTGCTAGGTAACAGGGGCATAGGGTGAAAGAAACTCTGCCCATTGTTTCTCGCCGGCGCCTGAGATCGAACCCAGGACCACAGGATCACAAGTTCAGTGTGCTGTCCGCTCAGCCGAACGGCTCCCCTGAAGGTTGTGAACAATTTCTTAATTACTTCGCCATCCATGTATTTAAAAGCAATTCTGAAATTGGAAAGCGTAACATAGGCTCCTTGCACAATGTTCTTTGTGGTCCTCGGGTGACAGTTTTCTATCAAAAACTGCCCCCTAGATCTCTCTTTTTTTCTTTTATCTGAATTTTTTTAATGCTTTTTCACATAACTTGTAGGTTGTGTGTGGCCTATTTTCTCCTTCCACATTCATTTATGTAGCATTTAATCACATGAATTCTATTTGCCATGTGATTGTGTTTGTTTTGCTTAGCACGGACTCATGTGTGTTATGCTTATGGCTGGGAATGCATTTGAATTGTGTTCAGTATTTCTAGCTTGCATGCTGTTGAAGGTGTCACGAAGATGTCTTTTTCTTCTGTCTCTGCAGACAAGTTGCCTTCTTTTCTCCAGTTTAGAGCTTGCTTCTCTTAATAGTAGTGTCACCTCTGGGAACAGTGTGTTTTGAAGCATTTGTGTGCATCAGGACAAGCTGTTTGTCTGCTGTGGATTGAGATGCATTCTTCACTGAACAAAGATAGTGTCCTAGGTTGTGTCAGGGCCACAGCTAAGGAAAGGTTTCAGGGTGTCACTCTGAAACAGGCATTTTGTTACACTTGACAATATTTTTATTGCATTGCTTACTTTAACCAAAATTTTGACAGTTGTTAAAGTTGTAATTATATCAAATTTGTGACTGGAATTTTACATTGCAGGTGCCGGAGGACTGGGATGTGAACTACTCAAGGACCTTGGGTTAATGGGCTTCACAAACCTTCATGTGATTGACATGGATACAATTGACCTCTCCAATCTAAATAGACAGTTTCTATTTCGTAAGAAAGACATAGGACGTCCAAAGGCTGAAGTTGCTGCAGAATTCATTAATCAGCGAGTACAAGGGTGCCGAGTCATCCCGTATCCTTCCATACATTCACCGTTGAATTTTTCTTTGCCCATTGTTAAGGTGTTGACAGATTGTTATATGGTCAGTCATTTCCTGATGGCTCTTGCCTTAATGTGTGTACTAATTTCAGACTTCTTACTACCTTCTACCTATACAAACATGCACATGTATGCATGCACACACGCACATTTGTACACACATAACCAATGTAATTCATATTTCCACACACATGATAAAAATATGTACATGGTTAAGGTAGATTGACAAGGTCAGTTTTAACTGACAGCTGCTAAGGCTTCTTCTGGTGAGCATAGGTCTCTTGATGTCATTCAATAACCTTGCTGAAACTCTCGGTACTCCTGATTTTTGTCCGAGTTTGGCAAAGTTTAGTAGACAAAATTGGGACTTGTTTTTTTCTGGATTAGCAAGTATTGTATTTACAGTACTTATAAAAAGTATTATCAAACTTAATACCTCATAACTTTGACAAAATTATTCAATGCATAAGATCTTTAACAAAAATATCAGCTATTACAAAAAGATTCAAGATTTTGATGATGATTTCTATCGGAGTTTCCACCTGGTTGTAAGTGGTTTAGACTCCATTGTTGCTCGAAGATGGATTAATGGAATGTTGCTCTCACTCCTGTGTTATGAAGATGGTATGCTAGATCAAGTAAGTTGGAAGTATGTATTTTTCTTAGTTTTAGCAAATGCAAGACATCCTTAGTTACTACTGCATGTTATGTTTCATTTATTGACACTATCCCTTCCCCATTCCACCTAGCATCTAGAATACTATTATACCGAATAGGCTTTGAGTTGCTGAGTAAACACTGAAATTTGAATATATAGTACTGTTCAGTACTGTATTTGGGTTTTTCATTAGGCAGAAATTACAGTAATCCAAAATGCCCTTTGGGTTTAAAGGATTGAAGAAAGGTAAACTCAAATCATAAATCTTGTGGATTGTTCAGATTTTTAGATTGCTTGACTGCAGTTTACCGAGCACCTACTGTATTTTTTCTCCGAGTTTCTGTACAAAATTACCTTTTCGGAGTTTCTATATCAAATTGCTTTTTCAAAGTGTCTGTATGAAATTATGTTTTCAGAGTTCTGTGATCCCTTTAGTTGATGGAGGAACAGAGGGCTTTAAGGGAAATGCAAGAGTTATTCTACCAGGCCTTACACCCTGCATTGAATGTACTCTGGACCTCTTCCCCCCACAGGTTAGTCCAGGATCTATATTTTAATTAATTTATTTGCTGGGGGGTTATAAGATGCACCTTTTTTAGAAGGATATTTTGTGTAAGACTATTTTAGTATGTTTTATCATACATTTATTGTAAGTGATGTGTTAGTAGTTTTGTAGGGGAGGACATATGATTTTGTGCATGTAAATACAATATGCTGTATATTCAATTGGTGGAGGACTAAAAGCATGACCTGAAATGCTTTTTAGGATACATGCATGTATTCTAAAAGCATGACCTGAAAGATATTATAGATATTCTTACCAAAATTCAGGCTTTAGTGCCTAACATGAAAATATAACATGACTGTAGGTTATTAGGATTTTGAAATGAACAAATTGTGTAGTGAACATGACTCACAATGAATAATCCAGTGTCATTTATTTTCATTTATTATGCTAGAAAAGAAGAATTTAAAAGACTGATGTACCAGAGGGAGGAAGCAGAACAATTCAGACATCAAATGTTTAAATAATAGAAAGAGAATGGGTAACAGAGCAGACAGCACACACAGTTGTGGACCTGCCCAGCCTGTAGGAGCAAGGAAGTAGTCAAGAATAACTAGTTCAATGTGCTCTGCTTTCACTCTCAGGATCGCAATTGAAACATAATCACTACTACCCAGTCTGACGATTTGACATAGGTCAAATTTGAAGCGAGTTTGCCTGACCAAAAGTGCTTAGTCCTAGGGAATGCACTTAATCATTTGAGGCCAACACTCCTTAGTATGAGTAAGTGTCAATATTAGTGTTTTTAATTTCATCCTGGCATTTCGATGCTGTGGACGATAGCATCACAATTGCTTTGCATTAAGTGATTCTCGCCAATTTCATATTTTTATTTTTTTTAGATCAACTTTCCTCTTTGTACCATCGCCCACACTCCTCGTCTGCCGGAACACTGCATAGAGTATGTCCGCATTCTCTTGTGGCCCAAAGAAAATCCATTTGATGAAGACATTCCTATTGATGGTGATGATCCACAACATATCAATTGGATCTTTGAGAAGGCCCAGAAAAGAGGAGCTGAGTTTGGTAAGCCATATCCACTCACATTACAACTTCATTATTCTATTTTATATCTATAATTTTTTGTTAGTGTGTCCTTATCAGTTAGTGATTTTCAACCTTGGCATCTTGTTTCACTGTTGGTTGTCCAGTGCAACTATAGCACATCTGACCTGTTTCTTTGTCATAGTTATCTCGACGCCTCCTTCATTAGTGATAGTACTTACAGCACATATTGGTCAAATGTACAAGAATGGACAGTTATACCCCAAAATAAGTTTTTGTTCTATTGTAATATTCCAAATGGTATTTTAAAAATGGAACAGTAACTATACAACATTTTAACCGTTCTAGGATTAAATAAACAACCCTAAGTCTAATATATATCATCTTAAGTAATTTAGTACATGTGTTATACTAGGCCCTCTACACAACAATACAAAATATGTTTTTTTGGGTATAACGTTCCATTTTTGTACATTACACTAATAGTTTCTATAAGTACTATCATTAAAGTACTTGCACACGAAGCCCACGTCGGCCTCTCGTGAGTGGGGTCGACGGTTGGAGTCTCCTAGAGTACAGGTGAATGGAATACTGTCATTTTTGGACAACAGGTTGAACTATCTTTATAGATGTGTGGTGGAATTATCCTCCATTAAAACCTCTGATTTATTCTGCTTCTTCTCGTCGTCTCGTACACGGAAAGAAAGTCTTCCTCACTTCCATCTTGATTCAGTTGTGTGCAGTTTCTGCCTGTGACTTATTACCTTGGTAGCAGGGTGATCTCTGATCCTAATACATTACTTCTCTCATCCTACACTCCCCCCCCCCTCCCCACTATTACTTTCCTTACCTTTTTTTGTGGGAGCCAGATTATCTTCTTGTGCTCTCAGTATATCTTATACACAGGAAGGTACAGTAGTTGATGACTTCTAACTCCTGTTAGCAGGCTGAACACTTTCCCTTCCTGTAGCTCATGGTAAGCCTCCCTTCCTATAGCTCATGGTAAGCCATATCCTGCTAGTTTCCTTTCCTAGCCCTTTACCTGGATTTTTTTTTCTGAAGTCTTGGCTTTCTTTCAGGCATAAGTGGTGTAACTTACAGACTCACACAAGGGGTAGTGAAGCGAATCATTCCAGCAGTGGCATCTACTAATGCCGTCATTGCTGCTGCTTGTGCGTCCGAAGTGTTTAAGCTTGCCACGTCAGCATGTACACCTATGAATAATTACTGTGTGTTTAATGACACCGATGGAATATACACATACACCTATGAACAAGAGAAAAAGGTTGGTTGAGATTCTTTTGTTAGTAACATGGTCCCTTATTGGGTTTTTGAGTTATCAACCTGTTCTCACATTTAGCGTAAAGTCTGAAGTTGGTTTACCTAACAGAAGGATTCAAGCCTAGACAACTTGCCCAACCTCGCTTGCACTTGTTGTACAAGTTAGGCCATTGTTCATTAGTTCAAAGAAGGGTCAGTAGTGCTTTTAATTTCACTATAGAACTATAATTTTGTCTCTGTGGTTGCTAGCATTAAAATGATTGTACATTTAGTGTGAGGACAGGTTTCAGTTATAAATGTCATAAAAATATTGTAATACATTTTCATAGTTATCTGAAAATACAGAAAACTCTTCTTCCTACATAAAGTGTGAACTTGCTTGAATGACCTGTATGAAGCCAAGATGATCTGCATGAGGGATTTTGTTTGAACCATTGGACCCCTCGCAAGCTTTCCTCTAGTTTCTAGATCGCAATCTTTCCTCTAGTATAAAATACATTATTGAGATTTTGATTTATCAGGTTACATTGCATACAGCTTATAAAGTTTAACAATTAATGCATGTATTGTTGTTACAGGAAAACTGTGTTGCCTGTAGCCAAGTACCACAAGAACTAGAAGTTCAGTTGACAGAAAAGTTGCAAGATATTATAAAAAGGCTTACAGAATCACAACAGTACCAAGTAAGTTTTTCCAATTGGTATATTTTTGTCCAGTTAACTCTTACACTGCTCCAATCACTCGAGAGTCTGTATGCTTCAAATGCCGGGAGATGATTTAAGGTGCTTCATTTTTTCAAAAGCCCCACCTTTATTCAAAAGGTCCTTTGGTTTCCCTGCAGGGCCTTAGTAAAAAGATGTGATGCCTCACTATACAGTTACTGAATAAACAGACCAGCCATGTTAGGAATCATTGAACGTTTAAAAGCAACAGATCAGTGATACTGTATATTTTTATGCAAAACTTGTACTGCTGTTGACACGTCAATGCAAGCACGGAAATATTAAATAAAATGAGAAACGATAAAAATAACCTCAATCCACTCAACTTCTCCAGACCATTACAGCTAAACCACGATAGGTAGAGACTTTTTATATGGATTTTCGTGCTTCCCAGATGCTAATTAACTGTGTCAAAAGAAAAAGAATCTGAAATTTTTTCTTGCACATAACAAACAACGCATCAAAATAGCCTGCATAGTTATGGGAGTTTTACTGTATATATGTTGGTGATACAGTAATACTAAACTAAAAGGTAGACAGGGAGTTAGGGGAAAAAGTCAATCATAAGTTTAAAAATTAATCTGCTTTTAATTTAGAGAGAGTTAAATTAATTACATTTTTTTTTTAAATATGACTAGTCAAAAAATTAGACCGTTGTGTGTAATGAAATGCCTTCTTTTCTGACCTCTGCATAAGTAGATCTTAGCTCGTGAACTGGCTGACATGGCACAAATGATTCTGTAGCCGATATCTGTGAGACTCATTGGAGACCAGCAAGAAAGCAGAAGGAAACCAATGGTGCATAAAACTGTAGATGTTTCAACAACTTTGTAAGGAGCCATGGTGACCCAACTAGTACAGGCACACACGTGTATGGTGCATAACTGCAAACAAATAGATCCAAGGAGGAGTCTTGGCCTTTTTTCCTTCATGACAGGCAAAGATAAAACACTGGAATGCCCCATATTATTGCAGATCTTATACACTGCAAGCATTTTATGATTGTGTGAGTGAAGTTTATGAGCAACTTTGGAAAACGATGAATGATCAAGTTTACCAGCAGTTGCTGCTTGTTGTTGAGGATGCTGGTGAAAGACCACAATATGATCTACCCCCATTTTTGCTCAAAAGAATGAATGTACAAATAATAGGTACAGATAATGTGATTAGACAGTAATTTACTGGAATTATATCTTTAAAGTGACCGAATACAAAATAGTTTGCACTCTAAATTCTAGCTTTAGAACCTCGTAATAAATCCACTCAGTGCCTCATTGCATATTGTCTGTGGTTCAAGCTGGACTGTCTTTTAGGATAGATGAATATCTATGCTAACTTGTTCAGTCTTTCTTTCAGAAATATTGAACAAATTATTCTATTCTTTAGATGAAAAGCTATTTTAAGCTAATAAATTATTTTTTCCTTCAGATGAAAAGCCCTGGGCTGCAGGCAATGATTGGTGGAAGAACCAAATCACTGTATCTTCACTCACCTGCATCCATTGAGGAGAAGCTGAGACCCAATCTTAAAAAGACTGTTGAAGGTGAGAGCTGGGTATACAGTGACTGGTCCAACTGGTTATGAGTAAACTATACTAGTCAGATTGCTGGAGTAGGGTTTGGGCATTAGTTCATTATGTCTGACATCTCTGTTCAAGTAGTGGTAAATTGGTACTTGGAAGTTAGGCAACCCTTGTGGGTTGCATCCTAGGGAAGGTCAGTACTGTAGTTGGCTTGTGAAAATGGTTCCCAACTTGGGGTCCTTGGACCCCTGAAAGTTCACAAAAGTAAGATTTAATGTTTCTTTGTTCTTGTGTGCAATATTATCAACTCGGTATGGCAACATTGGTTGTATCATGTTCATAACAAGCTCTGATTGGCTGTTGGTGACATAGGAAAGTCTGCAATGTGATTGGTAGGCCAGAATCTGCACTTATTCATTTTATTTTATTTATTTATTTATATATACAAGAGTTTTTACATTCTTGTACAGCCACTAGTATGCATAGCGTTTCAGGCAATTCCTTAATTGTATATTCCCTGGAATACGACCCCGCGAAAAATCGTTTAACAACCAAGTACCTATTTTACTGTTGAGTTAAACAGAGAGGCTACAGTTAAGGATTTGCGTCCAGTAAATCCTCCCCGGCCAGGATACGAACCCAGGACAAAGCGCTCGCGAAACGTCAGGCAAGCGTCTTGACCACTACACCACGGGGACTGCAATAGTTTGTGGCTAGTTATGGTGGCATATATATTTGACATTTTACATGCTATATTTCAGTGGCCCAAAATTGGCAATACAGTTACAGCTGTAACTGTTTTTAAAAGTTGAAGATGAAATGGGAGCTGTGATAACAAGATTAGACTTGTGGTCCGATCTGCAGAGCAGTGTGTTTGATTCCTTTTCAACACTGGGACTTTCTGGCAGTATCTGATAGGTTTACAGAATAGTTTTAGGAATTATTTTCCTCTTCCTGATGCCAATGACAAGTGGATTAGGGATATATTTCATATAGATATAAAAAAATGTAGAAGATTTACTGGGTAACTGCAAACGAAGAAAGTAGTAGTGCTGAAGTTTTGTCAAGTTTTATGCCGTACAACTTATCAGTCTTTTTAGATGTATGTGAAAATGAGTTACTAGAACTTTCATACAAAGCACTGAAATATTTAATGCCATTCCCCCACTACATATTTATGAAAGCAGGTTCTCCCAGATGTTTTATGTAAAATCAAAATACAGTACTGTACAGAAATGGGATGAATGTGTAACCTGGTTTAAGCTGAAAACTGGTAGTGAACTTCAAATCCAGAACGTTTCTAATAGGCAGTGTTATCTGCATGCTTGAAACCTTGCATGGATTTCCCAGGGTCTTCGATAGGCTAGGTCTTCGAGTGATGTCCAGGTTCTTCCCTTTTCTGAAGCGTATTACCTGGATTCCTTGCTCCATTTTGGATCTGTATACTATACCTTCAATGCTTATATCACATGTTCAACAAGCTGAAAGACTGCTGTGGTTCAAGTTCAGCTGATTTGGAACTAAGGTAGTGTAAAAAATATAGAAACCACATGTGAAGCACCATGAATAATATCTAGAAACATTGTTGGTGCGGTGGTATGGTATACAGCATCACCACACAAGTGGCAAGTCTTGGAAATGATGCTCAATTAGGTTATTACCAACTTGAAGCACTTGGGGCCAGATTCACGAAGCACTTACGAAAACACTTGCGAACCTGTACATCATTTAACAATCTTTGGCGGCTTTGTTTCCAATTATTAAACAGTTAATGAGCTCCGAAGCACCAGGAGGCTGTTTATAACAATAACAACAGTTGAATGGGAAGTTTTCATGCTTGTAAACTGTTTAATAAATGTAACCAAAGCCGTCAAAGATTGAGGAAAGATGTACACGTTCGTAAGTGCTTGCGCAAGTGCTTTCGTGAATCTGGCCCCTGATTATCAAGACTTTTCTGTACATCATATGTATGAAGGATTTTGACATTTTTATGAGTATTTGTGAAAAATTTTTCTTTAAATTCTTTAATATTTGAAACATACTTTTAGCTTCAGTAGAGATTATAGAAGTGTTGTTTATAAGTGTTGTTTATAAGTGTTGTTTATATCGTGAAAGATGTTTAAAATGTAATTAAAATTATTGAATTATTTATTTTTCAGAGTTGGGTTTGTGTAATGGAATGGAGATAGCTGTAGCAGATGTAACTAGTCCATCAACCAGATTATTCAGGGTGAAGATAAAGACTTAATGACCTTATGTCAGTACAGTAGAGAACATTAGTATGTAACTGTCTTGATGTCTGTTCATTGTCCATTATTATTTGTGAAGAACATGTTGCATAGTTTTAGTTGTAATGTGTAGGAGTCTGCCAGTGCTTACTGTTTCACATTCTTATTCAAGATATGTTTTAAAATTTGTTGACTGCAGTGTACCACACAAGCAACAAACATTATTCACACATTAAATTTGGCACAAATAAGTCACCAATTTCTGTTTATTATTACCCTTGAGATTTATATAATTAGCAAATATAACAAGTGCACAAGGGCATATACTGTAGAGCCTGGATTAAAGAGCCGAAGCTCAACTAGGTTATCTTGAGATGATTTCGGGGCTTTAGTGTCCCCGCAGCCCGGTCCTCGACCAGGCCTCCACCCCCAGGAAGCAGCCCGTGACAGCTGACTAACACCCAGGTACCTATTTTACTGCTAGGTAACAGGGGCATAGGGTGAAAGAAACTCTGCCCATTGTTTCTCGCCGGCGCCTGGGATCGAACCCAGGCCCACAGGATCACAAGTCCAGCGTGCTGTTTGCTCAGCCGACCGGCTCCCATAGGTGAGTACAGTGGTACCTTGGTTTACGAATACCCCTCTATATGAACTTTTCGGGTTACGAGCCCAATTTCTTTGGAAAATTAAGAAATATATTTCTGTCATAACAAAGTAAACAATGGTTTCTTAAGAATTTATGTACTTTACCAAGTGTTCCAAATTGTAGAAATAAACTAGGGTTTAATAATACAATTATTTAAATAAAATGCACATTTTATTGAGCAGGCTGGAAAAAAATGCAGTGCAATAAAAATGTCATACAAAAAAATGTTTGTTACATGGACGGATACATTACCCTGCATGGCATGAATTAACTGGCAGATTCCAGTCCCTGGCCACAGACCAGCTTCCCTTCCCAATCATCAATCCAAGAATCAAAGACATTTAGCAATATCTACAATTGACTAAGTAAGATTTGTGTTACTGAATATTGTTTTTAAAGTTTCATAACTAATTGGTAATGATGGAAAGGTGTCAAGTAACAAGTTCAGGAACTGGAACTCCAAGTTCTAAGATATGCAGTTTACATTTGTGGGGAACTAGCTTCATTCATGAAGAACACTTGACACACTGCAAGTGCGATTTTCAAAGCTGGCGGGCAAAAATCGCGCGATTTAAGCCACTAGCGGCCAAAAACCATGCGATTTTCGCAGCTGGCGGGCAAAAATCGCGATTTTCGCCGCTACCGGCCAAAAATAGCGCGATTTTCGCCGCTAGCGGCCAAAAACCGTGCGATTTTCGCCGCCAGCGGCCAAAAATCGCGCGATTTTTTACGCTAGCGGCCAAAAAAGGTGCTATTTTCGCCGCTAGCGGCCAAAAATGGGGCGATTTTCGCCGTTAGCGGCCAAAAATCGTGCAAATTTCGTCGCTAGCGGCCAAAACCCGTGCGATTTTCGCCGCTACCGGCCAAAAACCATGCGATTTTCGCCGCTACCGGCCAAAAACCATGCGATTTTCGCCGCTACCGGCCAAAAACCGAGTGGTTTTCGCCGCTAGCGGCCAAAAACCGAGTGGTTTTCGCCGCTAGCGGCCAAAAACCGTGCGATTTTCACAGCTGGCGGGCAAAAATAGCGCGATTTTCGCCGCTACCGGCCAAAAATAGCGCGGTTTTTGCTCCTAGCGGCCAAAAACTGCGTGATTTTCGCCGCTAGCGGCCAAAAAAGGGGCGATTTTCGCCGCTAGCGGCCAAAAAAGGGGCTATTTTCGTCGCTAACGGCCAAAAATGGGGCGATTTTCGCCGTTAGCGGCCAAAAATCGTGCAAATTTCGCCGCTAGCGGCCAAAAATTGTGCGAATTTCGCCGCTAGCGGCCAAAAATCACGCGATTTTCGCCGCTAGCGGCCAGTAACTATGCGATTTTTGCAGCTGGCGAGCAAAAATAGCGCGATTTTCACCGCTACCAGCCAAAAACCGCGCGATTTTCGCCGCTAGAGGCCAAAAATAGCGCGATTTTCGCCGCTAGAGGCCAAAAATAGCGCGATTTTCGCCGCTAGCGGCCAAAAACCGTGCGATTTTCGCCGCTAGCGGCCAAGAATCGGGCGATTTTTCCCGCTAACGGCCGAAAACCTTGCCATTTTCGACGCTAGCGGCCAGAAACCATGCGATTTTTGCAGCTGGCGGGCAAAAATCTCGCGAATCTCGCCGCTACCTCCCAAAAATCGACCGATTTTCGCCGCTAGCGGCCAAAAATCGTGCAAATTTCGCCGCTAGCAGCCAAAAATCGTGCGAATTTCGCCGCTAGCGGCCAAAAATCGCATGATTTTCGCCGCTAGCGGCCAGTAACTATGCGATTTTTGCAGCTGACGGGCAAAAATAGCGCGATTTTTGCCGCTACCGGCCAAAAACAACGCGATTTTCGCCGCTAGCGGCCAAAAACCATGCGATTTTCGCAGCTGGCGGGCAAAAATCACGCGAATTTCGCCGTTACCTGCCAAAAACCGCGCGATTTTCGCCGCTAGCGGCCAAAAACCATGCGATTTTCGCAGCTAGCGGTAAAAAATCGCGTGATTATCGCCGCTACCGGCCAAAAACCGCGTGATTTTCGCCGCTAGTGGCCAAAAACCGTGCGATTTTCAAAGCTGGCGGGCAAAAATCGCGCGATTTAAGCCGCTACCAGCCAAAAATCGCGCGATTTAAGCCGCTACCAGCCAAAAATCGCGCGATTTAAGCCGGTAGCGGCCAAAAACCATGCGATTTTCGCAGCTGGCGGGCAAAAATCGCGATTTTCGCCGCTACTGGCCAAAAATAGCGCGATTTTCGCCGCTAGCGGCCAAAAACCGTGTGATTTTCGCAGCTAGCGGCCAAAAACCGTGCGATTTTCACAGCTGGCGGGCAAAAATCGCGCGATTTAGGCCGCTACCGGCCAAAAATCGCGCGATTTTTGCCGCTAGCGGCCAAAAAAGGTGCTTTTTTCGCCGCTAGCGGCCAAAAATGGGGCGATTTTCGCCGTTAGCAGCCAAAAATCGTGCAAATTTCGCCGCTAGCGGCCAAAAATCGTGCGAATTTCGCCGCTAGCGGCCAGTAACTATGCGATTTTCGTGGCTAGCGGCCAAAAACCGTGCGATTTTCACAGCTGGCTGGCAAAAATAGCGCGATTTTTGCCGCTAGCGGCCAAAAACTGCGCGATTTTCGCCGCTAGCGGCCAAAAACCATGCGATTTTTGCAGCTGGCGGGCAAAAATCGCGATTTTCGCCGCTACCGGCCAAAAATCGACTGATTTTCGCCGCTAGCGGCCAAAAAAGGGGTTATTTTCGCCGCTAGCGGCCAAAAATGGGGCGATTTTCAACGCTAGCGGCCAAAAATCGTGCAAATTTCGCTGTTAGCGGCCAAAAATCGTGCAAATTTCGCCGCTAGCGGCAAAAAATCGCACGATTTTCGCCGCAAGCGGCCAGAAACCATGCGATTTTTGCAGCTGGCGGGAAAAAACCATGCGATTTTTGCAGCTGGCAGGCAAAAAAAAACGCGATTTTCGCCGCTAGCGGCCAAAAATCGTGCGAATTTCGCCGCTAGCGGCCAGTAACTATGCGATTTTCGCCGCTAGCGGCCAAAAACCATGCGATTTTCGCAGCTGGCGGGGAAAAATCACGCAAATTTCACCGCTACCTGCCAAAAATTGCGCGATTTTCGCCGCTAGCGGCCAAAAAAGGGGTTATTTTCAAAGCTAGCGGCCAAAAATCGTGCAAATTTCGCCGCTAGCGGCCAAAAATCGTGCGAATTTCGCCGCTAGCGGCCAAAAATCGCGCGATTTCCGCCGCTAGCGACCAAAAATCGTGCGAATTTCGCCGCTAGCGGCCAAAAATCGCGCGAATTTCGCCGCTAGCGTCCGAAAACCGTGCCATTTTCGACGCTAGCGGCCAGAAACCATGCGATTTTTGCAGGTGGCGGGCAAAAATCGCGCGAATTTCGCCGCTACCTGCCAAAAATCGACCGATTTTCGCCGCTAGCGGCCTAAAAAGGGGCTATTTTCACCGCTAGCGGCCAAAAATCGTGCAAATTTCGCCGCTAGCAGCCAAAAATCGTGCGAATTTCGAAGCTAGCGGCCAAAAATCGCGCGATTTTCGCCGCTAGCGGCCAGAAACTATGCGATTTTTGCAGCTGGCGGGCAAAAATAGCGCGATCTTCGCCGCTCCCGGCCAAAACCCGTGCGATTTTCACAGCTGGCGGGAAAAATCGCGTGATTTAAGCCGCTACTAGCCAAAAATCGCGCGATTTAAGCCGCTAGCGGCCAGAAACTATGCGATTTTTGCAGCTTGCGGGCAAAAATAGCGCGATTTTCGCTGCTACCGGCCAAAAACCGCGCGATTTTCGCCGCTAGCGCCCAAAAACCATGCGATTTTCGCAGCTGGTGGGCAAAAATCGCGATTTTCGCCGCTACCGGCCAAAAATAGCGCGATTTTCGCCGCTACCGGCCAAAAACCGCGCGATTTTCGCCGCTACCGGCCAAAAACCGCGCGATTTTCGCAGCTGGCGGGCAAAAATAGCGCTATTTTCGCCGCTACCGGCCAAAAACCGCTCGATTTTCGCCGCTAGCGGCCAAAAACTATGCAATTTTCACAGCTGGGGGGCAAAAATCGCGATTTTCGCCGCTACCGGCCAAAAATAGCGCGATTTTCGCCACTAGCGGCCAAAAACCGTGCGATTTTCGCCACTAGCGGCCAAAAGTCGGGCGATTTTTGCCGCTAACGGCCAGAAACCATGCGATTTTTGCAGCTGGCGGGAAAAAACCATGCGATTTTTGCAGCTGGCAGGCAAAAAAAACGCGATTTTCGCCGCTAGCGGCCAAAAATCGTGCAAATTTCGCCGCTAGCGGCCAGTAACTATGCGATTTTCGCCGCTAGCACCCAAAAATCGGGCGATTTTTGCCGCTAACGGCCGAAAACAGCGCTATTTTGCGCAAAAACCATGCGATTTTCGCAGCTGGCGGGCAAAAATCGCGATTTTCGCCCCTAACTTCCAAAAATAGCGCGATTTTCGCCGCTACCGGCCAAAAACCGCGCGATTTTTGCCGCTAGCGGCCAAAAACCATGCGATTTTCACAGCTGGCGGGCAATAATCGCGATTTTCGCCTCAACCGGCCAAAAATCGCGCGATTTTCGCCGCTAGCGGCCAAAAACCATGCGATTTTCGCAGCTGGCGGGCAAAAACCGTGCGATTTTCG